TTTGCTATCCATGGCTTTCATTGTTGCTCAGGTATAACATTTTTTTACAAACTACTTTTTATATCCAGACAACAAGACATTTTATCACTGTCACTGATTAATCTTATTTGTTCCCATTGTTTACTTGAAAATCTGAGAAAATCTGAAATATTTGACTGCAAAATATACTTCACAAACTTGAGGGATATGGTCTGTCAAAGAAATATGAAATCAGAAGCCATTAATGATGTCAGACTTTGTACACTGTCACAAGAAGACAGAAAGAAAGCATACAAAATAACTTGACAAAGGTATAATAAATATTTGTGGACAAAAAACAGTGAATATTGTACATAACTGCATCTGACCACATACAAAATATAACATCTATATGATTTAACTGTAAATCATGGTTTGAAATCAATAAATATGAACAGGGTTGTAAGTATGAACAAGGCCACACACTGACATGAGCAGGGCTTAAAAAAATAAAAGAATTGGTTCTCAGGCAATGTTTTTTGAAAATATAGTGCAGGTGGGCGGTGTCTACGAGTATGTAACCAAATAAACAGTTGTGTCAAATCAACCTGCGAAAGGGCCTCCCTACAAAAATGTATTCCTTGATGAGTAAAATATTTGAATTCAGTATTTGAGTACCTCTGGACTTGGAATATTTAAGGATTTGTTTGTTTGTTTTATAAAATGGAAATAAAACAAAACGTTCAGCGAAATTTAAGATGGTGCGGGCGGTGCCTGAGAACCAAGACTATTATTTTTTACAGCCTTGAACTACCATAGCCAGTCGGCCACCTTGTGGGGCTGTGGAAATTCAGGGCCACACACTCACATGAGTAGAACTACCATAGCCAGTCGGCCACCTTGTGGGGCTGTGGAAATTCAGGGCCACACACTCACATGAGTAGAACTACCATAGCCAGTCGGCCACCTTGTGGGGCTGTGGAAATTCAGGGCCACACACTCACATGAGTAGAACTACCATAGCCAGTCGGTCACCTTGTGGGGCTGTTGAAATTCAGGGCTGTATATAGCAGGGCTCATCACTGTAAAACTGACATGTAACAGATCAAACGTGAAGTTCCTCTGGGTATGACAATCAACAGTGAGAACATGATCTCCTTGAATCTTATATCCATAGACTTGCTGTCTCATATGCAGTGATCCATTCAGGTACATTGAGAATGTAGGAGTCACCACAGACAGATAACACAGTGAGTCAAGTCTCATGCGCGACCTTGCCTAGCAGCTGTTTGTCAACTACAGATACATACCCACAGAAATAAATAATTGCTTTCTTCTCAGAAAGTCAATAGGAATTAAGTTTTCCTTCATACCATTTTCTCAACATTGATTTCAAGTGTTTTGAGCCTAAGGAAAGGAAATATATCAGTGACAGGTATACCTAGTTCTGCCTGGTACACACCCAGTGTGTCACTGGAGTAACAAGAAGAATAAGCCCAAACATCATATCTCGTACTTCAGTGTGGCTTAATTATTTGTTAAATTATCCAGTAACACCAGAAATATGTTTGGCCAAAGATTCAACAGATCTACAGATTGGTAATCTATGGCTGCTTGTTTGTGACAGGCAACCCTACTGTCAACCTAAAGCACACTAACACTGTGTCCCAAACAACGGTCAACCTACACAACACTGGGTCTGACAGTTGCCATGATATCCTACACAACACTGTGACAGATAGTTGCCATGATAACCTACATAACACTGTGACAGACAGTTGCCATGATAACCTACACAACACTGTGACAGACAGTTGCCATGATAACCTACACAACACTGTGACAGACAGTTGCCATGATAACCTACACAACACTGTGACAGACAGTTGCCATGATAACCTACATAACACTGTGACAGACAGCTGCCATGATAACCTACACAACACTGTGACAGACAGTTGCCATGATAACCTACACAACACTGGGTAAGACAGTTGCCATGATAACCTACACAACACTGTGACAGACAGCTGCAACGATATCCTACATAACACTGTGACAGACAGCTGCCACGATATCCTACATAACACTGTGACAGACAGCTGCCATGATATCCTTCATAACACTGTGACAGACAGCTGCCACGATATCCTACATAATAGTGTGGGAGACAGCTGCCAAGATATCCTTCATAACACTGTGACAGACAGCTGCCATGATATCCTTCATAACACTGTGACAGACAGCTGCCACGATAATAAATCATGATGAGTCCTGAATACCATAAGTAGATAATTTTGTCTAGTAGCAACAAGTTTGAACTTGAGAACTATTCGCTACGTGGAAGTTTGTTAACATGACATCCAATAACTGATATGGAGGCTTGATTAATAAAGCAGAAAAAATGTGAGCTGGTCGCATACCATGCGGAGTAATCAATACTGTGTTCACCAGTGTCACCAAGTTAGAAAGTCATACAGTGAATGCAATAATGTTGTAGGATTGTCATCACATGTCATACAAAAGTATTTAGATCATATAACCTCAGCATGCATAAGACGTTTCTCTACATGTCTGATTAAACCCTTTGCTGTGACTGTACCAACACAATGACACTGCTGTAGCTGACATGGTCTAAGTCTCTTCTACTACAGCTCTGGGTGACTGTACCAACACAATGACACTGCTGTAGCTGACATGGTCTAAGTCTCTTCTACTACAGCTCTGGGTGACTGTACCAACACAATGACACTGCTGTAGCTGACATGGTCTAAGGCGCTTTTACTTACTCTGCTATTGCTCTCAGTGCCTGTACCAATACAATGACACTGAGAGATCAGACATGGTCTAAGTCTCTTGTACTACAGCTCTGGGTGATTGTACCAACACAATGACACTGCTGTAGCTGACATGGTCTAAGTCTCTTGTACTACAGCTCTGGGTGACTGTACCAACACAATGACACTGAGAGATCAGACATGGTCTAAGTCTCTTCTACTACAGCTCTGGGTGACTGTACCAACAGAATGACACTGCTGTAGCTGACATGGTCTAAGTCTCTTGTACTACAGCTCTGGGTGACTGTACCAACACAATGACACTGAGAGATCAGACATGGTCTAAGTCTCTTCTACTACAGCTCTGGGTGACTGTACCAATACAATGACACTGAGAGATCAGACATGGTCTAAGTCTCTTCTACTACAGCTCTGGGTGACTGTACCAACAGAATGACACTGCTATAGCTGACATGGTCTAAGTCTCTTGTACTACAGCTCTGGGTGATTGTACCAACACAATGACACTGAGAGATCAGACATGGTCTAAGTCTCTTGTACTACAGCTCTGGGTGATTGTACCAACAGAATGACACTGCTATAGCTGACATGGTCTAAGTCTCTTCTACTACAGCTCTGGGTGATTGTACCAACAGAATGACACTGCTATAGCTGACATGGTCTAAGTCTCTTGTACTACAGCTCTGGGTGACTGTACCAACAGAATGACACTGCTTTAGCTGACACGGTCTAAGTCTCTTGTACTAGAGCTCTTGGTGATTGTACCAACAGAAAGACACTGCTATAGCTGACATGGTCTAAGTCTCTTGTACAACAGCTCTTGGTGACTGTACCAACAGAATGACACTTCTTTAGCTGACACTGTCTAAGTCTCTTGTACTACAGCTCTGGGTGACTGTACCAACACAATGACACTTCTTTAGCTGACATGGTCTAAGTCTCTTCTACTACAGCTCTGGGTGACTGTACCAACACAATGACACTGCTATAGCTGACATGGTCTAAGTCTCTTGTACTACAGCTCTGGGTGACTGTACCAACACAATGACACTTCTTTAGCTGACATGGTCTAAGTCTCTTGTACTACAGCTCTGGGTGACTGTACCAACACAATGACACTGCTATAGCTGACATGGTCTAAGTCTCTTGTACTACAGCTCTTGGTGATTGTACCAACAGAAAGACACTGCTATAGCTGACATGGTCTAAGTCTCTTGTACTACAGCTCTGGGTGACTGTACCAATACAATGACACTGCTATAGCTGACATGGTCTAAGTCTCTTGTACTACAGCTCTGGGTGACTGTACCAACAGAATGACACTGCTTTAGCTGACACGGTCTAAGTCTCTTGTACTAGAGCTCGTGGTGATTGTACCAACAGAAAGACACTGCTATAGCTGACATGGTCTAAGTCTCTTGTACTACAGCTCTTGGTGACTGTACCAACAGAATGACACTGCTTTAGCTGACATGGTCTAAGTCTCTTCTACTACAGCTCTGGGTGACTGTACCAACACAATGACACTGCTGTAGCTGACATGGTCTAAGTCTCTTCTACTACAGCTCTGGGTGACTGTACCAACACAATGACACTGCTATAGCTGACATGGTCTAAGGCGCTTGTACTACAGCTCTGGGTGATTGTACCAACAGAATGACACTGCTTTAGCTGACAAAGTCTAAGTCTCTTGTACAACAGCTCTTGGTGATTGTACCAACAGAATGACACTGCTATAGCTGACATGGTCTAAGTCTCTTGTCCTACAGCTCTGGGTGACTGTACCAACACAATGACACTGCTATAGCTGACATGGTCTAAGTCTCTTGTACTACAGCTCTGGGTGACTGTACCAACGCAATGACACTGCTATAGCTGACATGGTCTAAGTCTCTTGTACTACAGCTCTTGGTGATTGTACCAACAGAATGACACTGCTATAGCTGACATAGTCTAAGGTGCTTGTACTACAGCTCTGGGTGACTGTACCAACACAATGACACTGCTATAGCTGACATGGTCTAAGTCTCTTGTACTACAGCTCTGGGTGACTGTACCAACAGAATGACACTGCTATAGCTGACATGGTCTAAGGCGCTTGTACTACAGCTCTGGGTGATTGTACCAACAGAATGACACTGCTATAGCTGACATGGTCTAAGTCTCTTGTACTACAGCTCTGGGTGACTGTACCAACAGAATGACACTGCTATAGCTGACATGGTCTAAGTCTCTTGTACTTACTCTGCTATTGCTCTCTGTGACAAGTCTTCCAGGTCAGCAACATCGAACAAGTGTGAGTCTGGGAGACCAAAATGGTTCTTCAAAGAGGTCAAAAACACATTCAGGTTGTCCTGTAATTAGATAAAAGTAAGTTCATAAATAATTAGAACCAATCTGTCCCCAGCTATATAGTGTCACTCCATGGTCACTGCTCCCAGGCACTCTCCAATGTGGACTGTTTGTATGTCAAATGCCTTTTAGTTCAGTTTTTGACCACCATAACTCCGATAACCAAGACATCCTCAGGTTGTCAGGGGTGAAGCTGATAGCGCGACCTGAAAATCTCGAAACTATTTTATCACTTATTGCAAGATTATAACAGTCAGACATACAAACTTTTGGATTCTTCGAGACAAAAAGTAGCTGTAGGAGGTATAGTAGCTTCGGCAGATGTGTATGCAGTGTATGCAACTCTGAGTCACCACTTGAATGGGTCGAAATGTTCTTGAGCTAATAGTAAATGCAAGCACGAAACTGTTGGGCTACTACGAGGTGGTGAGGTGAGGTGCGGTGAGGTGAAATGGAGTTTAACATTGTCAATAACTATTACACTCATATAGCTGTGTGCGTGCGTGCGTGCTTGTTGGGCTACTAGGAGGTGGTGAGGTGGGGTGAGGTGAAATGGGGTTTAACGTGGTCCATAACTATTACACTTATATAGCAGTGTGTGTGCGTGCGTGCGTGCGTGCGTGCGTGCGTGCGTGCGTGCGTGCATGCTGAAATAATATTCTCCAAGATCTACTATTGATTCGGTAAAAAATATCCAATATAATAACCCAAAATAGTTTTAATGCATTCCATTCTCTGACCACAAAGGTTCATTTTAAGGTGTCAATATCAGTTCTTTTGATCGTAGTTGGTTTACACAGCAGAGAGTTGGTGCAATCTGCTGAAACTTGTGTTCAATCCTTTTCTTTGTGAATAAAATATGTTTAAATAAAAAAAAACTAATTCTTTGCATAAAATAGTCTTACCTGACTTGTCTTGATTAATGAGACTCATTATAAATTTAGCAATCGAGTTGAAGCATTTGGATATGTAACATGTACATTTTACTGAACTACTACAGATTTTCTTTTGAAATATCCTTGCATACCTTATTTCCTAACAATTGCTGATATATCAAGGGATGAATGAAACAAAACATTGATTTGTTTATACTGGTAAGTGATGTCTTCAATGTTAAAATTCACCTATATGAACGTCAAATTGTAACATATTCAAAGGGGCACTGATCTAAAGCATATCCCCGGGACTGGTTGTTGCCTTTGTTATTGTTTTTTCCCCGTGAATACCCGGATGATACGCAACACAACTGAGCGTGACAAGAGACTGGGCTACTGTCTGCAAGGACAGCAAAATAAACTTGGGACAATATTTGTTTTACCCATTTTTGAACACTGATTGGTTAACCGTGATCTATAAAGATTTCGACAAAGGGCGCATGTTAATTAATTTCTTCAACCTAAACAAACAGACATAAAGAACGATGGAGCTCATCGGTTGTCGTCATTTGGAAATACCCCTGATTGTTATAGTTTTAAAAAAAAGTATCCATTTTCGGATTGCGTCGATAATACGATTACTACTCCCTTGTTATCATCAAAGTTTTCTGGTATAACCCCTACACTTGTGTATTTGTCGTCATTCACTTGATGCTCAGTCATTGAATTTATTACAGGTATTATTAGTGGTACACCACTCCAAATACCTGACGAAGGTTCCCATTTGGCATTTCTTGTGTCTGGGGTAATTATTCAATCTAAATCCAAGGTATAAAGTGAGGTGAAATGTGTGTTATGTAATATGCACGTGGCAGCCCAGCAAGAGATGAATGATCAGTTGATTTACAGCGGATCGTTCATAGTCATCAAAGGATTAACAGAAAATACATTGATTGATTAATCACTGTTATCTTGCACGGTGGATATCTCAGAAGTGAGTGTTTACATGTCTAGGTTTACTAAAACAAAGGGAATAAACTCACATCCTTGCGTGAAGTGCCGATGTAAAAACAACATACTTTGTTCAAAGGGTTAACCGATAATACGTAGATTAATTGCTCATTGTTATCTAACTCAATGGATTTTTTTAGGAACCGTGGACGTTATGAAAATAGTTGTCACGTGGGCTTTCTCAGCCGACCCTTGAGGCTTGACACCTATGTGAAACACCTGAAACAATCTAAGTGATCAGTTGAGAAACGAACACGGGTTATATTATCCCGAAATGATATATATATTTTAAAATAATTTATTGTTACAGAGACACGTGACATCGAATACATTTCTTTGTATAGCTGCAGACGTATTGGATATTGTTCCTTTGTGTGGATATTCACGGATACATTCCTCGAACAAGGAAGCTGCCTAAAATTACATGTGGTAGGTTGTAATTATGATATTCGCATTTTGTTTTCCTTCATTTGCAGTAGCATTGGACAGATTCATCTTGTTCCTCTACGTCTTGGTTGGGAAATTCTTCGATGCGTGATAGACATTGTTTTCACAAGTCTTTTCCTTTGTTTCTTACAGTCAATTTGTAAAATGTGATTCTCTCAGGCAATTTATAAAATGTGTAAATATTTCAGTCATTGTGACTGAAATATCTGTCCATTTCTTTAACAGATTGACCAAAATTTATTACCGTATTCGACGTAATAAGCGCCCTGCTCTAATAAGCGCCCACGGCAATATTTGCTAATATATTGGCTAATGAACAATCTCAGTTAGCATCCCTTCCAATTGATTAATGTACACAAGACTTATTTATTTGTGTATAATATGCACTCGTATGTCATATGCATCCTTAATTATGGGCAATTAAATCCTGGAAAAATATATCTGTCGTATATAAACATTTCAGGCTGTCAGCATAAACCACAAAATTTACGATCTTTCAACTCAAAATAATATCCTAATAAGAGCTCCCTACTTCTAATTTTGAGAGCGCCCTGGGCGCTTATTACGTCGAATACGGTAAGTCGATCAATAGGGCCTAAAAACATCACAATAGATTATTATGTAGGATTAGAAGCCACACAATATTACTTTTCATCGTAACATTTCAGTCTCTTGGTGATGAAATTAAACATAAAAATGTTTGGAATTCCTTGTCATAATAATACAGATGGACATATTTTTCTGTCAATTTGTAAAATAACTGAATATTCAGGCGTTAAATAATTTTCCTAAGTGAAAATTTTTCACATTTTGACTGTAAAAACATAAACACGATAAAATAAGCAATGCTCAGGAGAAAAATTTACTTTGTGTTGCAAGTCAAAATAGTGTAAACGAAAATCACACAATTACCAAGCAAGTGACTTATCAAAACTTCGTCACCATTACCGATGCTACACACAAAGATACCTACATTGCCTTATTATTTCCAAAACTGTATTTCATTTTGTTGTTCAATGTGACCATACGCCTTTATACTATCAATAAAAGTGACAAATGCGCTTACGAATTGCGCAGTACAGGTTGTGAACTAGTCTAGGTTTCTGCTATATCATCCGGGTACTCACGGGAAAAAACAATAACAAAGGCAACAACCAGTCCCGGGGAATTGCTTTAGATCAGTGCCCCTTTAAGAGTGTTTTACAGGAATGTCAACAATGTCCTTATCAACATGATACAGGCACCAAAACTCCAAATCCCATCATCACAAGAATGATGTATACAAACAGATCACACGCAGGTTTTCAGCAAGTGAGTGAGTGAGTGAGTTGGGTTTAATGACACTTTGATTAATATTTCAGTTATATCACGGCATGTCAGCTTAATTTGGGAGGAAAGACCGAAGTGATGCAGGTCCCAGACAATTACTACTCTGGAGAAACCCTCAAGCATGGGTATGCTACTGAAAAACCTTGAAACATAATCGGGCGAGCAGGGATTGGAACCAACAATCATAGGTTTCTTGTGCGCCCAAGGGACACAACTCTGCACAACAAATTGCAGCGCCTTAGATGAATGTGCCACTCATGCCCCCAGCAAGTTCTGAAAGAGTTGTCTGACATGACATTCTCACAATGACACAGCTAAAACCACAGCAGACAAGATCTGGTCATAGTTTCTAGTCTGCATATGTTTCAGTATGAATTTGTATGTATAAACATGCAGAAAATCTGCAACAGCATTAAATGCACTGAACAATGCATGTGTCTGAAACCCTACCTACAGTACACTACTCTGCATTCTAAACCAAATGGGGTTGTGTACAGAAGTATCATTAGTTGAAAAACGACATTTCATTGTGTATCAATACTTTTTTTTCCAAATAGTGTTTTTCTCTCACTACAAAAATGTAACATTCTGACACATGATACATTACAAGACACCCACACATAGTACATTACAAGACACCCACACATAGTATATTACAAGACACCCACACATAGTACATTACAAGACACCCACACATAGTACATTACAAGACACCCACACATAGTACATTACAAGACACCCATACATAGTACATTACAAGACACCCACACATAGTACATTACAAGACACCCACACATAGTACATTACAAGACACCCACACATAGTACATTACAAGACACCCACACATAGTACATTACAAGACACCCACACATAGTACATTACAAGACACCCACACATAGTACATTACAAGACACCCACACATAGTACATTACAAGACACCCACACATAGAACATTACAAGACACCCACACATAGAACATTACAAGACACCCACACATAGTATACTAGAAAGTGTTTTTACTCGTAAAAACATATGTCTCCCCCCACTCCCCTAACCCCCATTCATTCGTTTACTTCACGTTAAACCCCATCTCTTCATTCCCACCCTCCATTACTAAATAACAGAGACAAAAATAGAACTCCTAGAAATTTCAAACAACTAATGGGTACCACTTCAGGACTTGGTTAATATGTTACAACTTCATGAAATAATATTAAATGGTTTCTGAGTTATGGTCAGGAAACAAAGCTTACCCCCATTCAGAGTCTATGTTCAACTTATCTCCATGGAAACGGGAAAAAATAAAAATGTCAAAAATCTCTAAATAGCAAAAGTCACCA